CTTTGGCGCTTAAGCAATGAGGTGTTCTCCATCACACACACTCTCATCGGGTTCCTGGGAAGGGATGCCGCACCCACGGTGGGGCTCTGATTATCATCTTGCGCTGGAAAGGGTCCCCTCTCAGGTTGGAAAGGCAACACCCTATTGTTGGAGGTGTGAGATCTGGACAGTTGCCCTACCTCCCTCCGTCCCTACCTGGAGGGCACAGCTGCTCTTCTAAAGGCCTCCAGATAAAATCCCCTGAGGGCGGGGGTGGGGGGTGGGGGGGGCGTTCCTTTCAAGTGTAGCTGGGGGGGCTTCAAGACTGTTAGCTATTATACAAGGGAACCACCCGGCTGATCTCCTGCCTGCAGATGGGGCACCTCTTGGGCTCCGGCAGAGCGCGGTAGCACTCGGTGCAGGAGCAGACATGCCCACACTCCAGGAAGACGCAAGACCTGAAGGTGCTGAGACACACGACGCAGGTGCTCTTCAGGCTCTCCCTGTCCTCAGGACTGGCCCGGCTCAGCAGCTGGGCCTCCTGCTCCTGGAACTCCTTCTCCATCTGCTTGAGGCGCAGGCGCTCCTGCCACAGCACATACTGCTTTCGGAGGATGAAGAAGAGGGCAGCGCAAGCGGCAAAGCCAAACACCAGCGTCAGGACCTTCCAGAGTCTGACACTCGACTCCTGCCTCTGCAGCAGGCTGTCGAAGTCCTGGCTGCTCAGATAGTACTGCATGCCCTGCTTCGGGGGCTGCAGGCGGACGGAGTTGTTGTCCAGGACCAGTTCGCCCACCCCGGTGAGGGTGGCCCCGACCTTCAGCATCTCCTCGGTCTCCTGGATGCCTTTGGGCCGCTCACCGCTAATGTAGTGGCCAATGACATCAGTGAAGGACTGGACCGAGGGGTGGAACTTCTCGTACACGGTCTCCAGGCCCAGGTCCAGGGAATCCAGGGGCTTGAGCACTCGCACGGCCACACCCACATCCTCCTCGTGGGGTACCAGGTCAAAGGGCACTGTGTTGGTCCTCTGGTGAATGATCTTCGAATAGTCATTCCTAAAACAGTAAGAGAACTCAAGATAAAATAAAGGACACCTCACGCCCCGGCGGAGCTGGAGGCCGTGTAAACGCCAGGAGGACGGGATAAAGTCTGAAATAGCTGGTGACATACAACAGCAATCACTATTATCCAAGTGCCTCATAACAGGCAGGCCCAATTTGTCAGGCTCTCAGGCCGGATGAGTGGGCAACAAGGACAGGCAAAGGTCACTTTCACCATTTACTTCCCTTGGCCACTTTAAAATAAAGAACCAATTCCTTAAAAAATTAAAAATGGAACGGCCATAAGATCCGGCAGTCCCACTCCTGGGGATTTATCCGAAGGAACTGAAATCAGGATCTTACAGAGAGGTCTGCGCTGCCACACTCAGTGCAGCATTCTTCACCATGGCCAAGACATGGAAACAACCTAGGTGTCCATCAACAGATGAACAGATATGATACGCACACGCGCACACTGGATTACCATTCAGCCACAAAGGAAATCCTGCCATATGTGACCACATAGATAACCTTGGACGACATTACGCTAAGCAAACTAAGCCAGTCACAGAGGACAAATATTCCACTCATAGGAAGTATCTAAAATAGTCAAACTCAGAAACAAGAGCAGAACAGTGATTGCCGGGGACTACGGGGAAAAGAAAATGGGAGTTGCTGGTTCAATGGGTATAAAGTTTCAGTTACACAAGGTGAACAAATTCTAGAGATGTGCTGCACAACAGCTCTGTGCCTAGTAAACATACTGTGCTGCTGCTCTTAAAATTCGACAAAGGGGTAGATCTCATGTTAAGTGTTCTTACCACAATTTAAAATAAAATAAAATAAAAATGCAAAACAAAAACCCACTAGGATCCCTTGGGAAAACGGCATTCCATCTACTGGCACGAAGTTGCTTTAATAAATATCAAAATCATGAGTCCATGCCACATATCAGTGGTTCTCAAACTGTAGTGGGTGTATCAACAGATTCTGGGGCCCCTACCCTGGAAATTCTGGTTTGGTAGTTCTGGAACGGACCCTGATGGGAGAGGTCCTCAGACCAGACCACACACAAGAATAGTGTCAGCATTAAGAAACTTGTCTACACCTGCCTCAGGAGAAACTGGAGACACGGAAACAGTACCCAGGACCCCAGCATTTGAACTGACCAACTGTCGGGCTTTGGGCCGGTGGACAGAGGCTACGTACCAAAGGTGGGTTGTTCGATTCCAGACCATCTTGTGCTCCTGAAGTGTCAGCCGCTGAATCACCCCCTTGCAGTTTTCCACAAACTGGCTGTTAAGTGTTTCTTTAACAGATCGAACAGCTCCTAAACGGAAACAAATTATTTTGTTTTCTGAAGAACTGTTCTGTCCTTTCCTTTAAGGCAGTTTAAATTTTGTCGTTAGTTTCATTCATTAAAATGATGAAAATGTTAATACTAAGTTATGCTTTATGGGCACTCTCCTAAGCACTACATGGATGACATCGTGTCCATTTTACAACAGTAAAGGTAGAAATTATTTTAGAGATGGGATAATAGAGGTTCAGAAAGGTTGGGTAATTTCCCCAGGATCACACAGCAATAATCTAGGTCTTTCTGACTCCAAAGTCCAAGTTCTGGACCACTGGCCCACAGCTACAAAAAGCCCTTAACATCAGCCAAGAAGTTCTTTATAAAGCTTTTAGAAGAGGAAGTTACTTTTCATTTTACCAATAAATAAACATACCTTCAATAACAGCATAAGGCACACATTTTCCTGGGGCTTCTGAAAGAATACTCTTCAAGTCTTCACCCAAGTGGATTCTTTTAGCTCCCTAAATGCAAAGAACATATTGACCTGGCCATTGAACACTGACATATTCAATCAAACTTAAAGGGCAGAAAAGAAAAAGACTATTTACTTTTTCACATTGAGAGAATGAGGAAATCAGACAGGAAGGGGACAGTGAGAGAATCAGGTTTCAAAGCTGTGTCCCAGAAGTGTTAACCTATAACCAGGCACGGGGCCGTGCCTCCCTCTCTGCCACCTGCAGAATGGTGGTGCCACGTACACTTTTCCTCCAGTAGAAACATACACTCCTTTTCAACTTTTTAATGAAAAGTATAAATCAATTTGCATACCATAGACTGAACATAATTTAATCTCTTGACAATACAGAACCATGCATCCAAAGAGCTTCTATATGGACAATACCTAAATGAGTGCCTAGTGCATGCTAAGGGCTGGAGCAATGGTAGGTATTGCTATCACCATGCCTTTATCAATTCATGCTCTGAATTATCATAAAGGGGTG